TATATAATTGTGTCCATGAAACAGAGAATCCAAGAACTGAAGCAAACAGAAGAACTCAAAAATAAAGCATCCAAAAATTTTCCTGAAAGAACCCACAAAGCAAAAAAGGAAACTGTACTACAGGAAAATCAGTTAAAGAATGACAGACACTGGCCAGGCGTGGTGGCTCACACTTATAATCTCAGCATTTTGGGAGGCCAAGGTGGGCAGATCCCCTGAGGTCAGGAGTTCAAGACCAGCCTGGCGAACATGGTGAAACCCTATCTCTACTAAAAGTACCAAAAGCAGCTGGGCATGGTGGCATGCACCTGTAGTCCCAGCTACTCGGGAGATTAAGGCATGAGAAGTGCTTGAACCTAGGAGGGAGAGGTTGCAGTGAGCCAAGACTGTGCCACTGCACTCCAGTCTGGGTGACAGAGTGAGACTCCTCCATCAAGGAAGGAAGGAAGGAAAGCAAGGAAAGCAACGGGGAAGGGGGAAGGGAGGGGGGAGGGGAAAGGAAAGGAAAGGAAAGGAAAGGACAATAGATACTGAGGTGAGACATACCCTGAATAAGTGAAAGTAATTAAAGACTAATTAAGGAATTCTTCAGGCATTCTGGCAAAAGCCATTTACAAGAGAGACAAAATAAAGTGGTCTTACACTTCACCAGATCATTCAACGCCAGAATATCTACAAAGTCCTGAGGAAGCAAAGTGTATCCCACGAATTTTAAGCCCAGCTAAGCTGTCTGTACACGATAATGACAACAAGTAGATACTCCATTCTCAAACACTTGTGACCTTCCTTGAAAACCTTTCTTGGCCATACAATATAGCCAGCTAAGAACTCAGAAATGGAAAGTTATTGGAAGAGGACTGCTGATGAATACACGAAATCCACTTAAATCCAGATCTAGAACTGTAGAAACTGTAGTTATAAAGCAGAAAGTAAAGGCTGTAACCCTGTCAAGGTCAAAGTAATAGATTGCAGCCAAGCACGGCGGCTCATGCCTGTAATCACAGCGCTTTGGGAGGCCGAGGTGGGCAGATCACTTGAGGTCAGGAGTTTGAGATCAGCTTGACCAACATGGTGAAACTCAGTCTCTACTAAAAATACAAAAATTGGCCGGGTGTGGTGGTGCACGCCTGTAATCCCGGCTACTGAGGAGGCTGAGGCAGGAGAATCACTTGAACCTGGGAGGCGGAGGCTGTGGTGAGCCAAGGCTGTGCCACTGCACTCCAGCCTGGGTGACTGTGAGACTCTGTCTCAAAATAAATACATAAATGATTGCTAACAAAAATCAGAAGATGAGACACAGAAGGCAGAAAGTATAGCTGTGCTGATTTCCTTTTGTACTGCAATTTTCAGTCAAGTTACAAAATGTAGTAAAAAAATGATAATTCCAATCATTTTTTTGTTTCGCAAAAATCACTTTTTAACTTCCGTGGGATCTCTTGGGAACTAAAGTCTCTTACAGTGAAGAGACATTTTCTTAAAGTTCAGCAAATCCTTTATCATACTTCCAGTTTTCTTCTATAAATTTTAGCAAGATACATTTTAAGTCTATAAGTAGAAATAGAATGTATAGTATATCTCATGTTGCACTGACTTATTCCCAGCTGGCAAGCAATTCTTCTGTCTGCAGCTATGCAAAGAAAATTGCCCAGAATGATGTTCAACTAATGTTAATAATGGTTAATTCTGGGAGGTGAGACCTGGAGTGACTTTTTAAATAATTTATTCCTTGTGCTGTTCTACACTGCTTAAACATCTTATAATAGCCAAGTATTACCTTTTACAAACTAAAAAGTCATGTTTAAATTATAAAAGCCAAAAATAATCTTTCACTGAATCTTTAAACAAAATATAAAACATATGGTAGCTATATAAATATTTAGAAAACAGAGAGAAAAAAAGAAATACAGATCGCTTCCAGTGTCATCTTCAGTGTCAACCGCAGTTCACAGTCTCCAGTCTGGGGACGGAAAGGACTTTATAAAGACAACATCCAATATTTTTAAAGTAGCCCTTTATATTTTCTCCCAGTAATTTTATGGTCATGTTCATTGCATTTAAATATTTAATTGAATGGAGTTTACTTCGCTTTTTGGTGTGAAGTAAGAATCACATTTGTTTCTGCTATGTTTGGCTAGTTGTCCTGACACCATGCCCTGAATAACCTCTTCTTTGGGTTTGAAATGCCATCTTTAATAAGGTCTTATGAAGAATTAAATACCCGCAGGTATTTACCCTCTCACATCCCAGTTTTTCAGAGACCTCAACACACTCAGAAATGCCCTGACTGTGAAGTAAACTCCCTACTCAGCCTCCTGCTCCAGTGTCAGCTGTCCTGGGCAGCTTCTCTTTGTGTCCCATTGTCCCCTGTCTGTATCTCTGCCACAGCACCTGGTTCTGTATTTGCAGCTTCTGCTACTCGTGAAAGTAGGCACCGCATCTTGAATTCATCTTCTGATCCTTCGCATCTGGTGTCTAGCACATGCAAAAGGCTCTCAAAACATCCTCTCCAAGTCACAAGTTTTCTGCCACCCATCCCTTCCGACCTACACGAGCAAGGGACATCCAAATAGTAAAAGTCCATGGGGTGAGCTGACACGAACTGACTCAAGGCAAACTGCCCCAGGATTTTTGTGTTCTTTTAAAACATACACTGGAATCACGTTTCATTTCACCCACTCCATTTTGGAGGCTTGTAAGCTACTCATTTGACTCTTCTCAACAACACTTCCCCTCCTGTTTCTTTTCCTATTGTTAATTGCTTAAAATTCTCATGACACTAAGGAAATAGCTGTTCATATATGCCCAAGGGAATCCTGCTATTTCAGGCCCCAGGAGTCCTACAGGGAGAACTTGTCCTTTCACTGAGCAGATAATTCCTTAGTGTAAGCACCACCTCGGCAAGCCTAACGTGTCCAAGGACTCAGACAATCAAAGCTCAGGACCCTGAACCCAGTAAGACATAGGCAGCTTCTTTGCCAAAGGGACTTGCTACAACCTAGTCCTAGAAATGGGCATTCTAGCTGCTGACAGTAATGATTTTACTTAATGCCTAATGCAAACCACATTCAGGTTCCACAACCGCATTCAGAACGCTGCAGGTTCAGTTATTCTGGAGATGTAATGTTTAATCAACCAGTGGCACTGTGCCATTCCAAAGGGAAGGCCTACAGAGAAAGAGAGCAAAAACACGAAAAGAAGGTCGAAAGAAGCCAAAACTATAAAAACACTCACTTCAGGACTGGAGCCAGAGGAACATTGCAAACAATTACGTGATCATGCACAAAGGAGTATTCCACAAACTGGGAAAAGATCAATCAATGAGCCCACCCTACTGTGGATTACATCATGGCTAAAGGCAGGTTCCAGCTAATAAAAAAAGTTCACAAACTAAGGAATATGAAAAACTAAGGGAATTGAGAACTGCTATACCTTGGAAAGACAAGACCAGGGGAGTTGTGATGACCACCTTCAAAAATACTTGAAAGCTTACGATGTTTAAAAAGAAACAGACTTGTTCAATCCTCCAAAGGCTAGAACTAGACCCATCAGGCAGTAGTGACATGGAAGCTGACTTCAGATACAAACAATAAAGAACTTTCCATCCAGAGATGGTCAACAAAGCAGCAGCTTGACTAGCAATGTGGGCAGCTTCCTGGTGCACACACGCATTGCCTAGAGAACCCTATGTCAGAGACAGAGTCTGAATTAAGGGAAGATTAGACCAGATGACATCAAAGGTCTCTTCCAAGACTATTTGATTCTGATCTTCAAAAAACTTAGCTATAAGTGGGTTACCCTTTAAATTAAAATAGAGTATGCTCACGAACCAGAATTTTGAAAGGTATCAACCACACCCTTATACTGAACATTATGCCTTTTAATAATGTAAATTTACGAAGATTAAAAATCAAGGCTGGGTATGGTGGCTCGTGCCTGTAATCCCAGCATTTTGAGAGGCCGAGGTGGGCGGATCACTTGAGACCAGGAGTTCAAGACTAGCCTGGCCAAAATGGAGAAACCCCGTCTCTACTAAAAATGCAAAAATTAGCCGGGCATGGTAATGGGCACCTGTAATCCCAGCTACTTGGGAAGCTGAGGCAGGAGAATCGCCTGAACCTGGGAAGCGGAGGTTGAAGTGAGCAGAGTTCGTGCCACTGCACTCCAGCCTGGGTGAGAGTAAGACTCTGTCTCAAAAAAGAAATAAAAAATCAGCTTGATCTTTCAAGATTTATAATTAGATAGTAGGATTTTCTATGTTTAAAACAAGCTGGCGAAATAACTTAGCTGGTTATCCTCAGCCAATATGTGCATCTGAGCCATCACAGCTTCTAAGATCCAGCACCGCACAATCAAGGGCTTAAAGGCACACATGTAAAAACTTCATCAGCATGCCTGAAAAATGAAACCCCACTTACTTTCATTGAGTAGCTACAAAAATGTGGGCTTGAAACCTTCTTGGTATAATTCTACATTTAAGTCTAAGATGATGCAGGTTAGAATAAAAGACTGATTTGGATCCAATGCATTGCAGCCACCACTAGAACAGGACAGCAGGTGAAGGTAGCCTAGAGCCGATCAAGAATAGCTTCCAGTACTCGCCCACTGTTAACGTGGGCTCTGCCACTGCCACCTCCTCTCTGGTCCTCAAGCCTCAAGGTTGCTCACTTGCCTGTGAGTCTTCGTTCCTGCTATCCCCAAACCCGAGCCCATCTGCAAGTCAGAATGAACATAACAGGCATTCGGTCATTTTTGTAGATCCTGGCGAAAACCCAGCCCTTCCTGCTTTTCACTTCTGAAGGTCAATATGCTCGTAAGGCAGTTTTCTAATTGCTCTAGGGAAAGGCAAATACAAATGATAAACTTTATGTGGGGAAAATAGAGCTGAAGAGAGAAAGGAGGCTTTGTACTCAGCAGGGGAAATGAAAGAGATGACGGGAAGTGATACCACTGTTCTAACACACACCATGCGGAGGAAGATAAACACGTGCAAACAAACCAACCTGAAATTCTGCATGAACTGCCGGAACTTGTCCACCCTTTTTGCTAGAGGCACGATAACATTGATAAGCGTGTTGGCCATGTTGAGCTTTTCTTTTTTTACTTTCATGATGGGGCCAAATGGTCGAAACAAGACGAGCCGTTTGAATTCGTGTTTGTGGTCCCCTTTGAAGGTGAGCTCGTACAATGTCCCTTTGTCCCTTTCTGTTCGGTAGATCCCTGTTAAGAGAAAAACAAGGAAAGACCGTTCTAAAAATTAACCTTGGCTGCTGAGTGTTTTTTAACCGAGATCTAGCACAGAATGCCTTTAAAAAGTGTTTAAGATGAAATCTCTCCAACAATTATTCGAAAATTCAAAATGCTCCCAATTAAAAAATAGCAAAAGAAGTCAAAATACCATGAATTTAAAAATCACAGTTATGAAGATTGCATAAAACCATGGGAAAAAGCTTGAAATGCTGGATACAAACTGTATTCCTAGGATACGGAGGCATTTGTAAAAGGATTTTTAGGAAATAGGCCAAAATAAGACTGACTATGATACAGAGCGGGATTATTTGTTTTTTCTTTTCTTCTAGTATCCAAATTTTCTGCAATACGATTTCAAGAATGTTAAAATAATTATATTTAATTTTAAAAATGAGCATTTAAATTATCTCTTAGAAATTAAGCCTTTTCAGCCTGGGCACAGTGGCTCATGCCTATAATCCCAGTACTTTTGAGAGGCTGAGGTGGGCATATCACCTGAGGTCAGGAGTCTGAGAACAGCCTGGTCAATATGGTGAAACCTCATCTCTACTAAAAATATAAAAGTTAGTAGAGTGTCATGTTGCATGCCTGTAATCCTGGCTACTCAGGAGGCTGAGGCAGAAGAATTGCTTGAACTCAGGAGGCAGAGGTTGGAGTGAGCCAAGATTGTAGCACTTCACTCCAGCATGGGCAATAGAGCAAGACTCTGTCTCAAAAAAAAAAAAAAAAAGGAAAGAAATTATGTCCATTTCAGACGAACTGACCATAGTGAACTCTTTGGGACACCTGGGCTCAGGGCTGGTCACATGGGTTGTGGGGCCCTCTGGAAGCTTCTAGAAGCATTAAAATAGACAACACATAAAGTATTCAATACAGTGGTATGAATACATCATATTTAGTTTCACATCTTCCTTCCTATCTCTCAGCAGCATGGCTCAGGGAATCAGAGCACATACTATCAAGTCAAACTGCCTGGGTTCAAATCCTGGCCCTAGAGGTTTGCTTTGAAAAATTACTTCATGCTCCTGTACCTCATTTTCCCCACAGGTTACTGTGAGGAGCTCATGTTTTCAAATGTGAAAGAGGTTATAACAGTACACGGCATGCAATAAACCCTCAATAAATGTTAGCTATCCTCACGACTCCCCTTTCTCTGAGAAGGTAGAGAAGCAGGAGAGAAGTCTGTGGACCTTTCAAACTTTGTCCCATCCCATGTTATTGTTGCTGAAACTCCACAGAGTGTCGCTTGTCAGGTGGAAGATATGAACCAGCATCTCAACTCCCCTCTCAGAACAAGCCTCCCTAGGGTCTAGGTGATAGAATTTCCCAATCTAAGGATCAAATGATTTCCCTGATGCTTAAAGATCCATTTCCTTCCAATATCTCTGGTATTAAGAGTATTTTCTCTACAGTCAGGAAACATACACACACACACACACACACACACACACACACGCACACATAACAAAGGTAAAATTCAACAAATCAGAAAAGCTTTTGGGTTATACAGTAGTCCCCTTTTTCTAGTTTCACTTTCTGCCATTTCAGTTACCTGAAGTACAATGCATTTTGAGAGTGAAAGAGAATCAGGGAGACACACACACAGAGACAGAGAAAGAGACCATGTTTACCTACTTTTTATTACCACATATTGTTATAATTATTCTCTTTTGTTATTGGTTATTGTTGTTAATCTCTTTCCGGGGGTGTAATTTATAAATTAAACATTATCCTAGGTATGTACGTATGGGGGAAAAACATACTATAGCTAGGGTTCAGGACTCTCTGTGCTTCTGGGCATCCGCTGGGGGTCTTGGACTGTATCCCCCAGGATGAGGGGGAACGTAGGTACCATGGATTCTATTCATGTCTCCTTAATCCCCACAGTAAACTGAGAATGTACCTACCAGTCACTGGCTACAGAAATAAATCTCCAGGGAGAAACCTGACAAGCAACACTGTGTGGAGTTTCACTTCCAGTGACACGGCAATGGAATACAGTTTGAAAGGTACATAAATAGATTTATCTCCTGCCTAGAGTCAGTTACAGCTTCTCAAGGTCTCTCACAAACCACTCCTTTTTTCTTCCTCACTCTACCTCTTCTTTTCTTTTGTGGGAACTACATGTCTTCCTCGCAAATGTTGCCAAGTTCTCTTCTCTGTTCTTTGCCTTCTAGGAGCTTTTCATCCTACAGCACTGGTTTTACAGCCCCTTTGATTGTGTTCAAAGACTGGATTTCTTTGAGGTGCCACAGAGAGGAGTGTGGTCCTGTGAGTTTTCAAGGTAGTCTTGTGTCTCCCTGCTGTCCTCACAGCCCCACCTGAAAACCCAAACGCACAGTTCCCCAGCAGTGAACACAGCTATTTAAAGGCCCAGAGACAGAGGAATTACAAGGACTAAGTTCCCTTTGGAAGCCTTCACCAATGCGTTGAGTAAAAGAGTATCCTGCTTGACTGCCCTCAAAGTCTGGGAAGCTGAGAGTTTTGCTGAGCTCATGATGGAAAGGATTTCAAAGACCCAGAGGGGAAAGCCATGGAAGAAAAGAAGGTTCATTTCTTAGGAAGCTCAAAGGACTTATTTGAAAACGTTAAATGTTTCCCTTCAAAGTCTGTTCATTCCTTCAGGAATGTAGTACTCACTGAGGCAACAGGCTCTTTTCCCAGCTCTGAGGCTGTCGGGGATCACAAGGTGAACCAGCTCCCAGGGCCCAAATGAGGTGGGGCTGAGTCTGAGAGCAGCCACTTTCACCATGGAGGGCTTATCCGCACAGCAGTCACATTCACCATGGAGGGCGTTTCCGCATAGCAGCCACATTCACCATGGAGGGCGTATCCGCACAGCAGCCACATTCACCATGGAGGGCGTATCCACACAGCAGCCACATTCACCATGGAGGGCGTTTCCGCACAGCAGCCACATTCACCATGGAGGGCGTATCCGCACAGCAGCCACATTCACCATGGAGGGCGTATTCGCACAGCAGCCACATTCACCATGGAGGGCGTATTCGCACAGCACCCACATTCACCATGGAGGGCGTATCCACACAGCACCCACATTCACCATGGAGGGTGTATCCGCATAGCACCCACATTCACCATGGAGGGCGTATCCACACAGCACCCACATTCACCATGGAGGGCGTATCCGCACAGCACCCACATTCACCATGGAGGGCGTATCCGCACAGCACCCACATTCACCATGGAGGGTGTATCCGCATAGCACCCACATTCACCATGGAGGGCGTATCCACACAGCACCCACATTCACCATGGAGGGCGTATCCGCATAGCACCCACATTCACCATGGAGGGTGTATCGGCACAGCACCCACATTCACCATGGAGGGCGTATCCACACAACAGTCACATTCACCATGGAGGGCGTATCCACACAGCACCCACATTCACCATGGAGGGCGTATCCGCACAGCAGCCACATTCACCATGGAGGGCGTATTCGCACAGCAGCCACATTCACCATGGAGGGCGTATTCGCACAGCACCCACATTCACCATGGAGGGCGTATCCACACAACAGTCACATTCACCATGGAGGGCGTATCCACACAGCACCCACATTCACCATGGAGGGCGTATCCGCATAGCACCCACATTCACCATGGAGGGTGTATCGGCACAGCACCCACATTCACCATGGAGGGCATATCCACACAACAGTCACATTCACCATGGAGGGCGTATCCACACAGCAGCCACATTCACCATGGAGGGCGTATCCACACAGCAGCCACATTCACCATGGAGGGCGTATCCACACAGCAGCCACATTCATCACGGACAGCGTATCTACACAGCAGCCACATTCACCATAGACAGCGTATCTGCACAGCACCCAAATTTGCCACGGAGGGCATATCCACACAGCACCCACATTCACCATGGAGGGCCTATCTACACAGCAGCCACATTCACCACGGACGACGTATCTGCACAGCAGCCACATTTGCCACAGACGACGTATCTGCACAGCAGCCACATTCACCACGGACGACGTATCTACACAGCAGCCACATTTGCCACAGATAGTACCTGCACAGCAGCCACATTTGCCACAGATAGTACCTGCACAGCAGCCACATTTGTCATAGGCGGCGTATCTGCACAGCATCCACATTCACCACAGAGGGCCTATCTGCACAGGAGCCATATTCGCCACAGAGGCCATATGTGCACAGCTGAAACAGGCCTCCCAGTGTGGGTGGCTGTGTCTCATCAAGTTTCTGTTATTCGTGTCAGCAGCGTAACTTCTCCACACAGTCATAAACACAGAAAATGCAGCTGACGGTTTAACATACAAATAAAAATGTATGCAGGCTGAGGAATGATTTTTTTTTTCCCAGTAAAGTCATTTTCTCAGAGGCAAGCTAAGAATCATTAACTTTTAAAAACCTAAATCCACAGAGTTGAAAATACAGATAGCAATACACCTAAACCTGTCTCAAGAGATGGACATCTATTTATGAAGAACCTAGAGAATGCAGTAATTCTTATTTATAACAACTCCTACGAATAGAGAATGCCAGCTGCCTTGGTGGTGCCTGCATCATCAGCCCAGGATGACAGAGATCACCAGCCATGGTCACTGGTTCCAGGTATGGCACACTGCCCATCAGGAAGGTCACAGCACCCAAGCTCACCCCACACACCATAATTTATGCCGCTTTCTATCTTTCGCATACCATGCCTTGCAGCAGTCATTACATCCATTTTTTAGCTGGGTTCTCTATACTCTGGTAATTATTTTAATTATGTCTTATCAATCTGATTTGGGATCCCTTAATTTCATGTTTTTTTTTTTTTCAACTTTTCTTTTAGGTTCCGAAGGAACATGTGTAGGTTACACAAGTAAACTGCATGTTGCAGGGGTTTAGTGTACAGATAATTTTGTCACCCAAGTAAACAGCATAGTACCCGATAGGTGGTTTTCCAATCCTTGCCCTCCT